ATAATACTTGAAAGAGCAGAGTGAAAAGCTCAGGAAAGGAGGACCCTGGATAAGATAGATTGACAGTAACTGTAGTAATGGGAGTAAGTGTGTCAGAGACAGTGATACTGGCTCAAGACAGAGCAAAGTTCAGACCTATTGTGTATAGGGTTGCTATGAATTGCAGACAACTCTATGGCACCTAAAAATAACAACAACATAAGTAGTTCATTAGGTTCTAGGTTGAAATAATGAAAATCTTTTACCTATGATCTCATTTTCAAAATCCTTCAGGTTATTTATTCTCTCTTTTTGGTGTTCATAAGAGTACTTGAAATTGATGGCACAAATGTACTTAATTATAATGCAGTGCAAATATTTGTGAATTCAACTGAACAGTAAGACCTATAATATTAAGAGTCTTAAGCTCAGTATACAGTACAAAGACTGCTGAAAAATTTGAACTATATCAAACTTTATTGAAAATTTAGATATAGTCAACAGCAAAATAATTTTGGGGTAAGCTTGTATTTTTGAAACATGGAAATATACACACTAGAATTAGACAAAATTTCCACTTAAAGTTTTGGATATTGGCACTTTCTAATAAGTGTTATCTCTTCTATCAACAAGCTTCAGAATTTGGAATCCCCAAAATTGTTATGTCCTTTGATTTGAATATTGAAGATATTTGCTCAATGAAAATATAATCAATTAGGGGAAATCAATAATACAAAATTTTTCATCTCCTAATACTTTTTTCTCAATGTTACTCGTAACGTGTTGTCATCCATACAGTCAACTACATTTGCGTAATCAATAAAATATAAGTAAACATCTTTCTGGTATTCTTTGCTTTCAGCCACGATCCATATGACATCAGCAATGATGTGTATAGTGCCATAACTTCTTCTGAATTTAGCTTGCATTTCTGGAATTTCCCTGTTGGTGTATTACTCTAGCCATGTTTAAATAATCTTCATCAAAGTTTTAATTGCATGTCATAGTAAACTTTTTTTCATTTCCAAAGCGTGTTGGATTACTGCCCTGGGGAATCAGAACAAATGTGGATCTCCTCCAGTCAGTTAACCAGGTAGCTGTTTACATACTTGTTAATAGAGACTGGCAAATAAGTCTAGAGTTGTACCTGTTTCCTAAAAGCTTCAAATGGAATCCCATCAATTTCTGGGATTTTCTTTTTTTGCCAGTACAGCTTGAACTACTCATTAAAACAAAGCTAAAATCCTCATAAGTGGAGCAGTAAATATCATGGTAAGTGCAGAAAATACTGAATTTGTCCATTATTTAATTTTACTTGGACTCACAATCAGTACCCATGGAAGCAGCAGTCAAGAAATCAAATGACATATTGCATTGGACCAATCTGCTTTCAAAGATATTTTAAGAGTTTCAAAGAGCTTTAAAGAGCAAAGATGTCAATTTAAAGAGGAAAAATTGTCTGACCCAAGATAGTATATTCAATTGTTCCTTGTGCATTTGAAAGTTAGACAATAAATAAGGAAAAGCAAAGAATCAAGTTTTTTTAATTGTATTGTTGGTGAAGAGTATTAAATATACTATGAGCTCCCAAGGAAACAAAGAAACATGTCTTGAGAGAAAGGCAGACATAGTGCTTCTCAGAGGCAAGATGGTAAGACTGTCTAATATACTTTGGAAACATAATCAGAAGAAGACATTTCCTGGAAAAGACAACATGCTCCTAAAAACGTCAGTGAAAAAGAGGAAGGTCTTCAATTAGATGGAGTGACATAATGACTACAACTGTGAAGTTAGCATAAGACCAAGCAGGATTTTACTTCATTATGCATAGAGTTGCTATGTGTTAGAGTCAATTCAATGGCACAGAACAATAACAACCTTTTTTTCTTTCTGCAATTCCTAATACTAATCTGAATATTCAGTAAAGAAAGAAAAGAGGGGCTAAATTAAATTATATCATATTCATTTTAATACATATGATTCCTGAAATTATTGGGGTTAAATACACCTTTTTTTTTTGAGCCATCATTCAATTTATTATCCAGCTGGGTTAAATATATCTTGTGGGCAAATTCACTCCAATAGTATTTATCTCTTAATAATGAAAATCTTAAGAAGATGAGTTGCTTTAAGTTGTCCCTATCTAATAAAAACTTATATTTTCTATATGGAATAATTACATTGAAACTTGTTGTTGTTATGTGCTGTCGAGTCACTTGTGACTCATAGCGACCCTATGTGCAAGAGCCCTAAACCCTGCTCTATCCTGTGCCAATCACATTGCCTCTGACACACCCATTCCAATTACCCCAGTCACTGAATCAATCCATCTCATAGAGGGTCTTCCCCTCTTGTGCCGTCCCTCCACCCTCCCAAGCATGATGTCCTGCTCCAAGGACTTGTCCTGCCTTGCAACATGTGCAAAGTATGTCAGACAAAGCTCCAGAATCCTTGCCTCCAAGGAGAAGCTTGATATAACCCACTCCAGGGTGAATATGTTTGTTTTCTTGGCATTCCATGGTACATTCATTACTCTTCTCCAGCACCACACCTCAAAGGCATCAATTCTCCTTCTGTCCTCCGTAGTCATTGTTCAACTGTCTGATGTATAACAAGTGATTGCCAAGACTATAGCCTATATCAGACACACCTTAGTCTCCAGAGTGACACCATTGCTCTTCAGTACCTTGAAGGGATCCCTAACAGCAGACTTTCTCATCGCAATATGTTTTTTTATTTCCTGGCTACTGGTGCCAAGAGTGTTGACCATGGAAAATGATAAAAGAAAATAAGACAGACTTATTCATTTTCTGTACAGTCCATGGTATATGCAAAACTTTTCTCCAGCACCACAACTCAAAGGCATCAATTCTTCTTCTGCCATCTTTAGTCATTCTTCATCTCTCTAACATACAGCAAGCAGTTATGAAGACCATGATCTAGATCAGGCATACCTTATTCTCTAGATGAAATCGTTGCTTCTCAGTATCCTGGAGAGGTCCCTGAAAGTAGATTTTACCAGTGAAATTTTACTTTTGAGGCCGCTGAATTAAGAGAGAACTCTAAAAGAAAAGCGTCATTGTTGTGAAGTAGAGACCAACTCACAGTTGACCTTCCACTGGGGTTCTGAAGGTGTGCATCACAAGGGAGAAGACTGCCTATCTCTTCAGGAGCCATTGGTTTATTCAAAGGTGCAGAAAGGCACAGTCATTAGGTTAACAACACAGCTCCCTATGGACTCAGAAACCAGTGCTCCCAACAGAGAAGAGAATCCTATAAAACAATGTGTTGTTCTAAATGATAATATTACTTAGCATGTAAAAGGTATTTTACACTTAATAAACCACTTTATAGACATGATCTCATGTTACTCTTTCAACCACTGTGTCAGAGATATACCATTATTAAATGAAAATATTATTTTATGGAGCTAAGACTTAGAGAAATTAAGTACTTAGCCCAAGATCACATAGTGTTTAAGTAAAAAATTTGGCTGTAAACTCAGATTCTTATTTTTAATAAAAGTTTTATTTTGTACTGGTTTACTTATTGTTATGTGCCATCAAGTCCTTTGCGACTCATAGTGACCCTATGTACAAAGAGCCCTAAATGCCATTCTATCCTGAACAACCTAGCTATCTCAAACACGCTCATTCCCACCACTCCAGTCACAGAATTGATCCATCTCATCAAGGGTCTTCCTCTCCTGCACCGCCCATCCACTCTACCAAACATGATGTCTCTCTCCAAGGACCAGTCCTTGCAACATGCCCAAAGTATGTCATATGAAGTTTCAGAATCCTTGACTCCAAGGAGCATTCTGGCTGCACCTTCTCCAGGACAAACCTGTTTGTTCTCCTAGCAGTCCACGGTATATTCAACACTCTTCTACAGCACCTCAGCTCAAAGACATCTCTTTCTATTATCCCTAGTCATTGTCCAACTCTCCGATGCATAGCACATAATTGCAAAGGCTATAGCCTGGATCACACACACCTTAGTCTCCATCCTGACATCGTTGCTCTCCAGTACTCTTGGGAGATCCCTCACAGCTGACTTTCCCAATGCAATTCATCACTTGATTTCCTTGGTGCTGTTACCAAGAGTGTTGACTGTGGAACCACGTAAACTAAAACTATTAACTCTCTCAATCTCTTCACCATCCATACTGCTGCTGCCAATTGGTCCACTGGTGAGAATCTTTGTTTTCTTGATGTTGAGCTTCAAACCATATTCGAGGCTGCATTCCTTGACCTTCTGCAGCAAGCACTTCAGGTCTTCCTCAGTTTCAGCAAGCAGGGTTGTGTCAATCGCATAACGCAGGTTGTTGATGATTCTTCCACCAATTCTGATCCCACATTCCTCCTCGTACAGCCCAGTGTCTTGGATAATCTGTTCTGCATACAGATTGAAAAGGTATAGAGACAGAATACATCCCTGACGAACCCCCTTCTTGATTTTGAACCATGTAATGTCTCCTTGCTCTTTTCTGATGACTGCCTCGCTTTAGCACAATCCAATGTTCTGGGATTCCCATTCTTCTCAGAGTCAGCCACAGCTTGTTGTGATCCACACAGTCAAACGCCTTTACATAGTCAATGAAGAAGAGATAGACAAAAGTTCATATATATTGTTTTCCACACTGGATCTTTCCCATTTCCTTTACCCATCCCTCCCTCCACCTATTAAATTGTGCAATTCTGTGATTAGCCTCCCCATGTCCTTTTGTCACCCCTCTACTCCCATCCTCTTCATCTTGAATCACTAAACACAGTCTACGATAAAAGCCTTATACACTATTTGTCCTTATGAGCAATCTGAAATCTAAGAAAAGAATAGAATTTAGAAAAGAAGGCTGAAACCAGGTGAGAGACTCACTTCTGGAGCCAACACATTGTGGTGCTGAGAACTGAAGGGTGTGCAATTCCCTAGGAGGGAAATAGCTCCAATGAGATGCAAGGATTTCACTGGGACCAGGCCACAGACAAAGAGGACAGCTGAATGTCAGAGAGGGGGCAACAATGAGGCAAGAGACTCAGTACCCGAGCCAGTACATTGAATGCTATAGAATGAACTGCCTGCCACACCACCCAAGACCGAAACTGTTCCAGATCTGGAACCTGGTCATGCCTTTCTGCAGGAAAAAAAGAAGACAACAAACTTCAGCAGAGGGGGCTACAAGAAGGTGAGCTTTTCAGAGGGTTGTACTGCAGAACAGAGGATCTTGGGATTTTAGGAAAGCTGAACTTTCCTACTCCACAGGCTTAGAAATAATTTCCAATAGAGCAAGTGCTTCAACCTCATAGATGGAACACTAAACCTGCAACTAATTGACAGCATCCTAAAGTTTAAAAAACTATTAACAACATGCACAGACACAATGACCTAACTTATACCAAGAAAAACCTCAAATAATGTCAAGAAAGTAGCACATAGCTTCAAACATTGTGAAAAAAAGAAACACTGTCTTCATCTAAAAAAGCAGATCATATTGCAGATTTAATGATTAGAGACAGAGAATCAGAAGAAATATATTGATGTGGAGTTATATGAATAGCTATAGAAGAAGGTGCAATGATGGAACAAAGAATGGAAGCTACAAATAAGCAAATTCTCTAGAGACAGGGAACCAGAAGAAATACATTGATACAGAGGACTATGAGTAACTACAGAAGAAATTATAAAAGATGGAAGAATTGATACTCTAGATCAAGAGGTACAAGAACTTAAAATATCTTAACAAGACAGAGACAGTACAACCAACACAGCACTGGAAATGCAATCCAGAATATCAAGACTGAAATAGCAGAAGTTTCCCACATGCTGGAGGGACAAAATAAGCAAAACAGAAGAAACAGAACAGAGAGTCAGTGGGCTGTGAGACAAGAACTTGAATTAAAATATACTAAAAGGGAAAATAGAGAAGGGAAGAAATATTAGACTCATGTGAGATAGCATTAAAACGAACAAAATATGTATGATCAGAGTTCCAGAACACAAAGAGGGAGGAAAAGCACTGGGGAAATTGTGGAAGAGGGACTAGAAGAACACTTCCAACTCATCATGATGAACAAGGAAATCCACAGTTAAGAAGCTTTATAAACATCAGACAGAAAAGATTAAAAAAATATATCAAGATATAGCATAGTCGAATTCTCCAAAATAAAAAATGAAAGCAAAATACTAAAAGCAACATGAGAAAAACAAATAGTCACTTAACAAATAATAAATTATACTAAGTTCTGTTTCCTCAGCAGAAACGAGGTGAGCAAGAATACTATGAGATGGCATATACAGAAGTTTGAAAAAAAGTAAATTCCAGCCAAGGATTCTGTAGCCAGCATGAAGGACTGAGTGCCAGCCAAAGATTCTGTACCCAGCAAGCCTACGAAGGAGAAATTAGATCATTTGCAGAAAAGCAGGGACTTAAGGAATTTGTGAAGACAAGGCTAATGCTACAAGAAATTCTAAGGGAAGTCCTTCACACAGAGACATCAAAGGAAAGTAGATGGAACATAGTATCAAGAAGGAACAGAAAAAAGAAACACAGTCAAATGGAAGTGATAAAACCTGGTCTGTCAATTATCATATTAAATATGAATTTATTAAACCACTAATAAAGAGAAAAGTAATAGTAGAATGTATAAAAAGAAAACTCCATCAATATGTTGCTTGCAAGAGACATATCTAACAAATTTGGGAAAAGATAGATTGGGAAAATAATATACCAAGCGAATGGCACTCACAAAAAAAGCAAGAGTGGCAAAACTAAAGTCTGATAAAATAGACTTGTGGATGAAAACCTCTATAAAAGATAAGGAAGACACTATATAATAATTAATTGACCGATATATCAAGATGATATAATGTTGGTCAAAAGGTACAAGCTAAACGATTTACTTCTAAAATACATAAAGCAATAGTTAAGAGACTTGAAGGAAGAAATCGAAAGCACCACAACATCGTCAGGAGATTTTAACATTCCACTCTCTCCAAAGGATAGGTCAACTCAAAAGAAACTAAACAAAGACTCAGAAGGTCCAAACTATACAATTAGCCAATTTTAATTTATGGATGTACACAGGGTACAACACCCAACTAGAAATCTATTTATGTTCTTCTTAAGTGTACATGTTACATTCTCCAGAGCTGATCATATATTAGGGCACAATGCAAGCCTCAACAAATTAAAAAACATTCAAATAATACAAAGTATCTTTTTAGACAGCAATGCCATAAAACTAGAAATTGATGACAACACGGTAAAATTTTAAAAAATCACCCATGTGAAGCTAAGTAACACCTTCCTAGAACATGACTGAGTTATAAAAGAAATAAAAAATGTAACTAAAAATTTCCTCAAAACAAATGATAATGAAAATACAGTATGCCAAAACCTCTGGGATGCAGCAAAGGGTTTATCAGGGGGTGGTTCATAGCAATAGGCAAACACGCAGAAAAAGGAAGAAAAAAGCAGAATTAATGACCTAACTCAACATGTCCATCCAACAGAAAAACAAAAACAATCTAATCCCACAGCCGCCAGAAGAAAGGAAATTCTAAGGAAAAGAGCTGAAATCAACAAGAACAAAAACAGAAAAACAATTGAAACCATCAACAAGACCAGGAGTTGGTTCTTCAAAAGGGTCAATCAAATAGAAAAATCATTAACAAACATAACAAAAAAAAAGAGAGAATAGAAATAACTCAAATAAATTATAGAAGTGACATCACAATAGAACCAGATGTAATGAAATCAATAATACTGGAATATTATGAAAAGCTGTAGTCTTATTAAGTATTGAATAAACTACTGAAGAGCAACGATGTCAGTCTAGAGACTAAGGTGTGCCTGATAGAGGACATGGTTTTTGCAATTACTTGCTATGCATCAGAGCCAGACAATGACTAGGGATGATAGAAGGAGAATCAATACCTTTCAGCTGTGGTGCTGAAGAAGAGTATTGAATATATCGTGGACTGCTAAGAGAACAAACAGATTCATCCAGGAGAGGGTAAAAGTCAGGCTGCTCCTTGGAGGCAAGGATTCTCAAGCTTCTTCTGACATACTTTGGGCATGTTGCAAGGTGGGATCAGTCCTTGGAGAGGGATATCATGCTTTGGAGTGTGGAGGGACAGTGCAGGAGAGGAAGACCCTTGATGTGGTGGATTGATTCAGTGAGTAGGGTACTGGGGATAAGTGTGTCATAGACAATAAGCTTGGCACGGGATAGAGAAGGGTTTACGGCTGTTGTGCATAGGGTTGCTATGAGTCACAGACGACTCGACGGCGCATTGACAACAACATACTCTGATTAATCTGAAAACCTAGTGGAAATGGACAAATTCCTTGAAACTCACACCCTACCCAGATTGACTCAGACAGATGTAAAAAAATCTTGAACAGACTATTCACAGAAGAGGAGATATGAGCAGGTAACAAAAAGACATGTTGTTGTTGTTGTTTGGTGCCGTCGAGTCATAGACGACTCATAGCGACCCTATGAATGAACAGCCTGAGCACTGTTCTTACATAGAGTTTCCGGAGGCAAGCCATTTCGGAAGTGGATGCC